CTGCCTAGTTTGACAGTTTGATCGGAGTCTGGTGCGTTGAGCTAGGCGGACTCACTGAGAATGACCTGTGAATCACAAGGTAGCCACGCCCTAAAGCATACCATGCTTTAAGGTCTATTTTACTCTAAATGGGACCATCATTTACTAAATATACATTATGCTGTATAGAAGACTGAAACTAGAAATTGAAACCATAATTCTGCGCTGGAGGAGGCAGGGCGCGGCAATATCATAATCATCATAATTTTGTCGGCTCCGACTGCACATACTTCAACATTGATACACACAAGTGTAGCATTCATATTTACTTCCGTAAACACAGTGTGCTGCGTGTGACGTCACTTCTGCTGCGCATGCGGGTAACTTTGGGGCCCTAGACTGTTCACTGTTCACTGAATCTGATGGCAGTCGCATTTAAATTATAATGTGAACAACCACGCCAAAAAATGGGATCTCATCAAAAAAAAAATCGGAATTGAGCATTAAGACCTGCAGTGTGAACGTAGCCGTAGTTGTGCTGTTATAAGCCTAGACTGCTGAGGATTTCCAGTTTTGCCAGTTTCACCTCCCGTGCACTGCCGAGGTGCCCTTGAGCAAGGCAACCTAACCCCGAAACCTGGTAACGCGGCAGCCCCATCACTCCACCATCTCTCCCCTTTACATTTCCACATGTGCATGAAGTGTGCATTTCAGCCTGTGTCTGTGTGTATATATAAAAAAGCAGGTCGTTCCCTCAGAACACAAGCAATCACACTCCGAAGTTGAACACACCACTTTTATTTAGAGCGTTGCTGACACAACACACAACAACTGGCACAATAGGCTCTGGCTCTCAGTGGCACTCCCGGTAGCGTCTCTCCCAGGTCCAGCACACTACTGCAAAGATAAGGGTAGAGTCATTAACTAATCATCAGCACTTCATCAGTTACTATTATAACTATTATCGTAGTCCATGGCCCCCATCATTGTGGCTGTTGTCGTTATTATCTTCTTCATGTTCACCATCATCATCATCATCATCAGTAATTTATAAGATAAGATAAGAGAGATAAGATAATTCCTTTATTTATCCCCCTAAAGAGAAATTCATTTTGACACAGCAG